TGGCAATGTAAGTTTTCAGTGTAGACCATTCCTGAATGAAAAGATATAAATAATTTTAAAAACTTGGCTAAAAACAAATGAAGAAAGTGGTGGACATAGCCTCATGGACAAGGCTGCTGCATCAAAAAACAAACAAAGAAAGCGCAGGGCGAGAGACTCAGGAGTGAGGAGGTAGGGAGAGTTCTCTCTCTCTGGGAAGGGGCTGGAGCCCATTAGTTTTGGACTGGCTGTTGCCAGTAAACAGAGTTGCAAGAATTTTTTCCTAATGTCCAACCTAAACCGTCCTTACTGCAATTTAAGCCCATTGCTTCTTGTCCTATCCTCAGAGATTAACGAGAACAATTTTTCTCCCTCCTCCTTGTAACAACCTTTTATGTACACCTCTACCCCGATATAACGCGACCTGATATAACACAAATTCGGATTTAATGCGGTAAGGCAGTGCTCCGGGGAGGCGGGTCTGCGCACTCCGGTGGATCAAAGCAAGTTTGATATAACGCGGTTTCACCTATAACGCGGTAAGATTTTTTTGGCTCCCGAGAACAGTGTTATATCGAGGTAGAGGTGTACTTGAAAACTAGCATCATGTCCCCTCTCAGTCTTCTCTTCTCCATACCAAACAAACCCAATTTTTTCCAACCTTTAATCATTTTTGCTGCTTTTCTCTGGACTTTCTCCAGTTTGTCCACATCTTTCCTGAAATTTGGTGCCCAGAACAATACTCCAGTTGAGGCCTAATCAGTGTGGAGTAGAGAAGAAGAATTACTTCTTGTGTCTTGCTTACAACACTCCTACTAATACCTCCCAGAATGATGTTCACTTTTTTGTTGTTGCAAGTGTTACACTGTTGACTCATATTTAGCTTGTGATCCACTATGACCCCAGATCCCTTTCCGCAGTACTCCTTCCTAGGCAGCCATTTTGTATGTAGGAGTGGGATTAACTTCTGTGGTGGGGCCCTAGAGAGGAGAGGAGCCCTGAGCTAAGGTCTGCCAGGACCAGGGAATGAAGAAGCAGCCCAGGTGGGGCAATGGACTTTTTTTTATTCAGAGTTGAACCCCAGAAGGGGATTGAACGGTTAATGACTTGGCCAGAGGGCCGAGCCACAGAAGACCCAGTAAGGCAGTCTGCAGAAGGGACTAGCTGAAACTGACCATTGCAGCCGAGGTAGTGGCCACCAGAGGGAGTGCAAGAGGCAATGTCCCCTGCAATGCCGTATCCAGGCAGGAGGGGGTGCCCATGTCCACGTAAGGAAATGCTTTTACACTGCCATTCTCCCTCTGCATTCAGGCTCTCGCTCAGTCTGATTATTTCGTCCTCTAAGGTATTAACATTCATCCTTTCAGATCTGTTGCTACTGCTAAAATACTGGTTATCTCAGCTTGACTAGCATTGTAAGAGTCAGATGGAAATGACCTGTTGGGTTGTATTATTAAAAAGTCAAGTACCTCAGGCCAGGTACCAGCCACACATGCAGTTACTGCACTTATGCATACAAATCAGGTGTTGTGCATGCAAAGTCTTAGAGATAACAAGGGGATGGCCAACATTTTCATATTTGGGTGCCTAAAGCTAGTCATCTAAATCCACATTTAGGCATGTAGATAAAAGTGATCTGTTGTTCAGAAGTGCTGAGCATCTCCAGATTTCACTAAAGTTAATGGGAACTGCAGGTTCTCAGCACCACTGCATATCAGCCCATTTTACCTAAATTTAGATGCTTAGGTGTAGACAAGTTATGGGCAATGAAGTTACATAACATCTCTTTAATAAGGTCTGACACATTTCATGAAATCCTTCCCATCTTTTTTCTAATGCTCTTGCTTTTGGGGGAATATTACTATCTCAATCATTCCATCTCACTAAGTGGCTTCAGGGCAACTAAGCAATTTTGCTTCCTCTCTTTAATTACTGCAACAACTACTTTTTTAGACACTAACATTTTCTAATTTCTGTTGCCAGCTGCACTTTGGATAGCGAACTCCATCACCCATCTGAGACTGAACAATATGTGTATTAGCTAGAGAGTACTGAATATTTTCTTTTTTGTCTGTGATCAGCTGCAACCGACACTTTTTGTCCAGATCTTTTGGTCCAGTTTGTGTTTTGCCAGACTGTTTTTCATCTATGTTCCTTTTCCTTTAAATATGAGTTCGTACTCCTCATACTCTGTTGTGTGTCCTCTTAAGCATGATTACTTCATTCTATAGTAGAGTACTAATGCACCTATGACATTGTCCAACTTCTTTGATTCAGCTGAATTGTTGGCATCAAAAGGTCTCTTTATCCTTCAAAATCCCATCAGAGATGGGGTTATTAAGCTACAATGCATTTTCCATGTGGTACATCTTGTATGCTTCAGAAACAAAGCTGAAAGGTACTAGAATGTTAGGTGCTTGGACCAGACAAGAGTTATACAAAAAAAGGATCACTGTACAGTCACTATACATTTAACCCTGCAGTAGGCATGTGTATGCTCTCTTCTGTGTTTTAATGTATGTTGCCCTTTGTACTGGCAGAAAAAAAGAGATCGGAGAAACAAGGGAACAGGAGCAAGCTACTAAATATGGTTTGTCAAAAATGTGTAACTTGCAATAACATTCAGCATTATAGGTGCATTATATTTAGAAATCGTCAAGGTGTATTGAAATAGTTGACAAAAAATGTTTTAAAGATACCTGCTGTTCTACTTAAGAAATTTAGGGCAAAATCCTCCCCCACTGGCTTCAAGAGGGCCAGGATTTCACCCTTATTGAATTACTTACTCCCCCACCCTTTCCTTCTATCAGATTGTCCTGGACTCCACTTACTTCAGGATGTGCTTTATGAAGGCAAGTGCTCTACTGAGACATCTCCCAGGTAACTGATTTAGCAACAGGCAGGAACTGCTCCTTAATGAGGACAGTATTGGCATAAATTCTACTTAGCTGGCATGGAGACATTATTGAAAGTGTTAACTGGTGTTAAATGTGTGTAATATTATATCTAATATTAAATCTGAGCTCAGATTTTTTTAATGCAGAAACCTGCTAAATAAAGATTAAAAGAAAAAGCAAAAACCAAAGTGTCATTGGAGCTCATGCTCTAATACGTCTGTTAGTCTATAAGGTGCCATAGGACTCTTTGCTGCAAAAATCAAAGTGTCATTCTAGTATTGCATTTCAAAACCTTTTCAAACTTATTTTTAAAAGGCGTCTTCTCTTTGGCTCCTGCAATGAACTTCAAATGGGTGTATGGACCTGCCTGTGTGGACCTCATTGCAGGATCAGGGCCTTAGCTGAGAGAGACACTTCATTAGGACAACATGCTCTCCCCACAGAGCTGTCCCAAATGCAATTGACTTTGCTGTTCTACCCTTTTTCTTATAGATGTCTGTGATTGGATATATAGGGGTCCCAAGAGGGCTGTGATGCTCTGTTCTAATTTCATCAGTAAGAAACACTGCTGAACTGGATGGCAGTGCAGGATGGCTCCAGGCAATGCTTTTAATGCAGAGGGTATCATTCAATGATTAGAAGGCAAAGTAAAGATGAAATGCGTCACTTGTTTTATTGCAATTCATTTTAATCCACATACAGCTGTAGTACTAAGCTAAGGGATCTGGCAATGCTTCCTGCTACTGGCAAATACACCACAAAGGCCCCCTTTTAGGACCCCGAAAGACCTTCATATCCATGCACAATTCCCAGATTATTTTTCGCTGCACTGTTCTGGATATACTATAGGGGGGGAAATTACATATAAGCCAATGAAGCATCCAATTGTGCATTGTATTTGCATTTAAGTTCCCTGGCTCAAAATATTCCCTAGCAATTTGAATTCCAGATTTACGTATACCAGTGATAGGTCGCCTATCCAGGCTTTCAGATCACTGCCCCAGCAGTCTGTATCAGGACACCTTTCTGGCAGACCAGTTATAGCATAAGGGAATGGATTCACTGACTGCTGAAAAGGCAGATGGTGCAGTTTGATCTTCTAAATAAGCTTGCTTCCCCACTTACAGAAGAGCCAACACCATCGCACAGCAGAAGTTGGAGAGGGAAACCACAGGGAAGCCATTACTGATCACAGCTCACTGTAGCACAGCAGTTCTCCAACCTATTCATTCTGTGCAGAACTCTGTAACAGAGTGTTCTGCTGTCCTCTAGTGGATAAAGCACTAGGATCAGGAGTCAGGAGACCTGTGGTCTGTTCCCATCTCTACCACTGGCCTGCTGTGTGATTTACACTGTAAGCTCTGTGGGGCAGGGACTGTCTCATATGGTGTGTTTGTACTGTGCTTAGCACCGTGAAGCCCCTATCTGGGGGGGGGGGGAAGGGGTCTCTAGGTGCTACTCTAATAAAAATAATGAATCTGCCCCCCCCCCCCCCCCCTCATAACTTGCTTGTGAGAATGTTTCATCTTGTAGACAACCTCAAAGAGCTCTGCAAACACACTGGTGGTCCAAGAAACGTACTATGAGCACCCGTGCACTAAAGCTATCCCTGTCCTTACCAGGGTGATCGGACTGTGGCAGCTTGGGAAGTAGGCAAAGACAGAACAAGCATTGAAGCAGAATGTGTCTTACAGGGTGGATGATAGGGGAAGAGAGTGCAAAGAGCAATGAAGGGAAGGGAAGGAGAGAACTTAGACTGGAGGCCCTTTCGAGGGAACTAGATTGCAAAGCTTGGTCTTCCAAAGATGACTTTTTTTTTATTATTTTTTTTTTTTATTTTAACCCCTGCAGATTTTCAAACATAACAAAACCTCTGGTAAAGATAAAGAATTATCCACAGCATTAAAATAGCATAGATGCCCACAGCATGAGAATGCCATTGAAACTGAAATCCAGAATTTGTGGGATGTTGTTAAAACCTCATTGCTTGAGATGTTGAAGTTCCCATATACAATATGTATAGCTGTTTCCCTTCAATTTACCTTTAAAACTTGCTATTATTCAGCACTCCTAAAGCATCATTTACTATAGTAGTAACCAACCAGTAAAATGATGTTATGTTACCTTACTCCGTCTTCAGCTGCTAACATCCAGCACAGGCATCCAGACTCAATTTGTCTTTTTTAAATAAAACCTGAAAGACAATAAGAAAAAGAATCTCTGTGTGGAACCATAATAATAGAATAAGAATATGGAAAATAACTTTGGTATGAAATGAACATATGGTCAAGTCTACAAAAATATCATTCCATTAAAAAAAACACTGAACCAAAGATGACTTTCTCCCCCCCCCCCCTTTTGTAACCTAACGTCTCAATAGCTGGAGAAGAAATCTAGACTGGGGACCACTTTTGAGAAAAAAAGCATGTTAAAGGTGCAAGAGAAATTTCAGAAGCCATGTATTATTATTGTAAAGTTTTATGCTTAGAGACTGTGATTCATGTCTCCCTGATACTATACAAATATTAGTGAAAACAGAATACATATCTATACAACTATATTCCAGGAACGGGGCGGGGAGAGATAGCTCAGTGGTTTGAGCATTGGCCTGCTAAACCCAGGGTTGTGAGTTCAATCCTTGAGGGGGCCACTTAGGGATCTGGGGCAAAATCAGTACTTGGTCCTGCTAGTGAAGGCAGGGGGCTGGACTCAATGACCTGTCAAGGTCCCTTCCAGTTCTCAGAGATGGGATATCTCCATTAATTTAATTTAATTTATAATGTCACTCGGTGTGTCACCCTGGAGCCTATTAGATCTGTAGAGTCTGTGTGAAGTGATGAAAACAGCCACAAGCATGTCTGAGGGCTCTTTTTCATCAGAATATCACCAGGCTGAATCATCACCAGGTTTCACAGTATGTCACCATCCAGTTAAGTTCTCAGCCATTTTGGCTTACTAATTACACTCATTGTTGTACAGCTACAATAAGGCATGTATCTATGCCATGCCAAGAGTCCTAAACCATGATGATATCAGAGGTAACTCAACCAATCACCACCGTACTCTACAGTTAATTTGTATGTAACAATTTCACTGGTTGCATAAAGGAGACTGCACAGATGGTGGATTATTTGGCCCAACCACCACGCCTGTGTGCCCTACTTCCGCCCGTACAAAAACATCAATATCCCAGCACAATCCCAACTAGACACAAATCAACACAACCACCCACACAACACAGATATAGTCTGTTGCATCAGTGTGAAGCAATGGAAACAACTGCAAGCATGGTTGAGAGCTCCTTTTGCAGAATATCACCAGGTCCAATCATCACTGGGTTTTGCAATCTGTTACCAACCAATATTTAAGTTCTCAGCCATTTTCAGCTTTTACACACAACTTTATGAATTACACCTGTGCGACAGCCCAGGCTTTCAGTTACTAATATATACTAAAAATGCTCTTTAATCACTATTAAATTCTGCAGGCATACTGAGAGTACATCCACCCCACAAAACCAAACAAATAAAAAGAAACCAAAGCAGCAAGTCTCAGAGCCTGGGTCAACTGACTGGGACTTATGCTATGGGGCTAAAAATAGCTGTTTAGACAATCCCACTCAGGCTGGAGCCTGGGCTCTGAGACCTTCCACCCACACTGGGATTCAGAACCTGGGCTCCCGCCTGAGCCGGAACATCTACACAGCTATTTTTAGCCTCATAGTGTGAGCCCCGTGAGCCTGAGTCAGGTGACCCACAGTTGCCGCCACAGGATTCCTTGCAGCGTAGACGGACCCTAAATCTCAGGTAAGACGACGCTCTTGCATGGATGCACCCGCATCATTCCACTGAGGCTAGGTCTGCACATAAGACCACAGGTGCTTGGTGTAAGGTGGCCAACTTCCTCATTTGTGAAACCCAGACACTGAGCGCTGGAACCTCCCCCGCCCCACCTCTTTCCCTCGAGGCCCCCCCACTCCTCTTTTCTCCCCCCCAGCATCACTGGCTGCTCCACCACCCTCCCCTGCCAGCTGAGCAGGGCTCTAGGAGTGGAGGGGTGACTGGGACAGGATGTTGGAGAGAGAGGTGGGCTCTGGGGGTGAGTCACTGGGGCAAGACGAGGGAGGGAGAGCTGGGCTCCAGGGGTGGAGAAGTGGAGCAGGGTGGGGGAAGGAGAGCCTCACTCAGGGCAGAACGGGGAACAGCGGGTACCTCTCCCCACTGGAGCTGATCCTGAGTGCTCCACTGCTCCTCCAAGCTGCTGCTCCACACACACACACACACACACACACCGGCAGCAGAGGCCAGTTACTGCAGGTGACCGGACACTGCCAGGTTCCCTTTTCGACCGGACTTTGTGGTTGAAAAGTTGAAAAGGACAGCTGGCAACCCTAGCTTGGCGTCTGCAACAGGCTAGGACCATCCAGACAATGAGACAGCCCAGCACCTCTGCTGCAGGTTGCTAACCCCAGATGCCCTGCCTGTTCTCCGTCAGCACAGCTTCCGCAGCTCCAGTGACTTAGCAAGGTCCAAGGTCCCTCCCCAGAAGGGGGCTCCCTAGTAGATAACTAGCAACTGAACTGGGTCCATTCACTCATTTTGCACAGACCACCAAACTGGGGAGAACCACTTTCACCTATTACAGACTCAGGCTGGATTCAAGCCTGGAGGTAAAAAACGTTCAGTTTCTCACTGCCCATCCCTGGGCCTATTCAGACTCCAAAGGAAGAGCACTTTTAAAAAATATGTTCCTGTGCCTGCTCATACTGAAACTAACTACCACTGAATCACCTAGACTGCAGGAATTTTAAAACCTAGTCCTTATAAATCAATATTCAAGAAGCATAATCAAGAAATTCTGACAAATCGTTAATGAAATCCCATAATTCAGCTCTCCAGGAAACCCATTTAACTTTAATGCCACACTTTCGTATAGACCTGCAAATCACATATCAGGAAAGGCAGGCCCTTAACACTAATGCAGCAGAAAAGTTCTCCCCCATGAAGACTCTGCCTCTGGCTCCATCTCCACTGTGAATGCCCAGCATGCACCATACTATGATGCTATAGCAACAAGGGAACTGCCCTGAGCATGCATAGGGTCAGTCAGCTCACCACTGAATAAATATTGTCTGCCTTTCATACACGGCATGAGAAACTGTAGAAACTCTGCTCTGTCAGAAAGAAACAGGAATTTACCTGAGCCCATGTGGGCTGGCTGCCTGCATCAGTGTTGATTCCCCAGAAGCAAGGACATCACAGCATAGTGTATGCTGGGATAGCACAAGGGAGCTGGAGCCAGACCCAGTGACAGCAGCTTCAGGGGAACTAACTAGGCTGGTAAGCAGTGCATTCATCACACTTTGCTGAAGTACAGTCACTTCCCTTTAAATGGAGACTATATTCCTAAGTAAGCAATTGTGCAACATAATCCCCTGTTATAAAGTCCCGTTGGAATTAGTGGGGTGTGTGTCATACATTGGCAAGGACTGTGCAGAATAAAAACTAAGTAATGCATTACTGCACTAATGCCGCATCATAATGACTGTAGAAATATATGGGGGGGGGGGGGAAGTACCTTTGTTATCACAGTTTGACATCTTTGCCTGCTTCGGCATACCCAGAATAATAAATGCCAAATTTCTTAACTGCCTGTTAAGGAGCCAGAAAATTATTTTATGAATTAAAACATTTTATTTGAAAGTAGAAAAAATACTTCAATTTGACCTATTTTATGCATTTCAGGACAATACCAGGTAAAATATTTCAGCTGAAACATTGGAGCCATATTGCTGCACTGTAAACACATTTTTATACTATGCTGCCCATAATGGTATGAAGGTAACAGGTGCACATACTCAACAGGCATTTCTCAAGCAAGATTCTTAGCCATTTTGGAAAAAAAAAAACATTTTAAACAACTAAAGGCATCAATTAAAAATGAAATGACCAGCAGCCTCTTAAACATCAAGCTCTTAAAACTTGTAAAGTTTGGGGAAGACTCATACATAAAAACAATTATCATCACTGGTTTTACGTGATACTCCAACTAAAAAGTATTAACCAGTTTATGTTATTGTTTATAAATACAGTATATTACATAGGTATTTACATTGCAGTCATCATCATGGTATTGGAGTGCCTTTTAGAGCAGTAGTTCTCAACCAAGGATACATATACCCCTGGGGGCACTCAGAGGCCTTCCAGGGGATACATCAACTCATCTAGATATTGCCTCGTTTTACAACAGGCTACATAAAAAGCACTAGCAAAGTCAGTACAAACTAAAATTTCATACCATGACTTGTTTATACTGCTCTATATACTATACACTGAAATGTAAGTACAATATTTATATTCCAATTGATTTATTTTATAATTGTATGGTAAAACTGAGACAGTAAGCAATTTTTCAGTAACAGTGTGCTGTGACACTCTTGTATTTTTATGTCTGATTTTGTAAGCAAGTAATGTTTAAGTGAGGTGAAACATGGGGTACGAAAGACAAATTAGACTCCTCAAAGGGGTACAGTAGTCTGGAAAGGTTGAGAGCCACTGTTTTGAGAAGTCTTTACAAAGACCTGAGTTTTCTTTCCCTGTTAAAGGGGCAGGTAGGATTGTCTAGACTGAACTTCATTTCTTACTTCTAAGCCTATCTGACCTTCAGGCTGCACTGCAAAAGATTTGTATTTAACTCTAGCTTTTGGAGAGAACGGGCCTTGATGATGGCAGAGGTTTACACAGAGGTGGGGGGTTTTGTTGGTGGTCAAGTTTGGCCGGTGGGGTGAGCTGTTAGTTTTAATTGATTTTATTTTCGTTAGTAACATCAATCACAGGAGCCTAGAAGGTCAATTAGGTACCTTTTGTATTTTTAAAAATCTAAATAAATAAATACAAATGTTCTTATTTTTTCTCTTTTCCCACGGTGAGAACAGGCTGGGTAGGGTGAGGTTTGGTATTTTTCCTATCAAGACTGACAGTTCCTATATACTAACATAGTTATTTCTAAAGAAGAGACTGAAAGTCACAATTAGCTACAGTCACAGTAATAGGTGCTCCTATAATTGAGATACCAAGTTATAACCCTCTAATGGACAGTGCCACCGTTTAGCTGCAGGACATTTTATATGTCGCCAACGTTTAAAATAGACAAGTCACTACTGGGTTCAGTTAGAAACAGGGAGTGAGGGAGATG